AGTTCTGTCTGCGACCTTGGGCAAGCTAGGTAACCTTTAAGAAATGTAAAGGGGATAAAGAGGCACAGAATCTCAATTATAATATAAATTAGTCATGGGGATGAAAGTACAGAATAGCGAATATAGTCAGTAGTTCTGTAACAGCTTTCTACACGCACAGTGACTAACTGAGCATTTATGCTCAGTGAGCATTTAATAATGTAGATAACTGTCAAATCACTGTGTTGTATACTTGAAGCCAATATAATATTGTATATAAACTATACTTCAATTAAAAAAAAAAGAATTGGTTTTCTAATCCATAAAGTGAGTACAATGAAGTGTCAAAGTGCTGATACATTAAATAACACTGGTAAAAACATCTAACACTAGCTGGCATTCTATAGGTATAACATAAATGACATCAACTTTTTAATGCTGCCAGCATGCCATTTTCCTAGTCACCTAGGTCCAGTTTTGCATTCAAATACTATCCCTTCCTCAAAACACCTCCACCATCTAGCTCTTCCTATCCATTCCAGAAGTCTAAAGCCATCTAGAATAGACTACAACTTTTACAATTTCAGAGAGTATAGAAACAGCCTCTATAATAATCTCAGTGATTCTAATCTTATACTCTTCCAGTCACCAAACCAATAATAAATTTTCCTACAGTAGTGTTAGTCATGTGTCTCCCTACTTGGGAAAACTTATGGATCATCAAGGCAAACAAATGGAATCCAAGCTCCTAAGCCTAGATCAACCCAACCTCTGCCAACTTGTGCCTCACTACCTCACAGCAGAATGCTTTTCTTCAGGAAGGATGCTCACTGCATTGTCTCTAGGCAATCCTCTGAGTAACTGAAAAGCTTGTGATTTATTTTTCTCTTTCGAGTGGAGAAAAGACATTTTCAAAGGAAACAGGACAGATATGAGAACAATTTTTATTTCAAACAAGGAAAGTTGGAAAGGAAAAGCCCTCTACATGTCCTGCATTCAACAAAGTTTTGTGGATATATTCCATGTGATCAAGCTTAGAAATCAGCAATCACCTTGCATTTCAAAGTACTTTATCTAAGTTCCCAAAAGGCTATCTGCAAGGGTAGCCTTAGATTAGTGTTTCTATGTATGTAAAAACTACATGTGGAACTTTCTACAATACCAATGCTTCGGCCCCACCTCCTGTGATCGCACTGAACTGATGCTAGAGTAGGGATGCATCACCGTTATGAATAGGCACGACTGACAAAATGCTGCCCTAAACGAACACTCTGATCTTAACAGTTTGTTAAAATGCAGATACTGATTCAAGAAGTCTGAGATTCTGTATTTTAATGCTGCCACAGCTGCTGTCAGCTAATCACACCTTGAGTACTACAGGAGAGACTGGTAACACTCCTAACATCCTGCTGATACCTAACTTTGCTCACACACTATTCCTTCTTTCTAAGTTCCACACTGCATCCTTCAGAATCTAGTTTAAATAATCTGCCCAAGGTCAAGAGGCAGTAGAGGGCAGAGATAAGATTAAACAGAACTTGTGACTTCAAACCTATGTACCTAAAGCACTACAAACACACTGAATGAAGCAGGAACACCAATAAGGATATTCCTCCTGTTATATATTCCCTATAGAACAAAATAGTTTTTAGAAATATACTCAGTCTAGTGGTTCCCAAAATAGCTCTTCCTAAGTCTAGTTTATTTTCAACCTGTCTTTATAGATACATGGCAGAGGAAAAATATTTCATACCTCTGCATCCTCTGGAATGTTACAGGTGTGCACGTAGAAGGGGAGTTAATAGAACTGGCTCATAAAGTGAGGAAAATATCATCATGGTTTATTAAAAATTTTTTATATATTCAAGACTGAATATAGAAGCATAACTGAAGGGATGACTGAGAGATTATTCAGTCCATAGTCTCCTACCCACAACAATAACCTGACAGATGATATCAAATAATTACTATAATGGGAAATTTTACTTTATGAAGCAGATGCTAATCAACTCTAATGATCAGAAAGTTCTTCCTTAGGTTGAACCAAAATCTGCCTCCGTCCATGTAATTTCTGGCCACGTGGCTTAACCCCAGAAGTTTTTGGGTAGCAACAGAGGTAACACTCTCTTCACTGGGCAATATTTATATCTACGTGAGGTAGCAACTGGCCAGAGGAATACAGTTCTTTTTTACAGTAAGATGTTCATTAAATGAAGTTTTATTTCTTTTTCTTAAATTGAAGTATCATTGATACACAATATTATAGCATTCACTGAAATTTTGCTTAAAGAATGACAGGCCAGAAAACACCCCTTTGCTCTATTCATGTTTTATTTATATATCCACTATCTCACTTTGCTACTCACAACCACTTTAAGATACAGTAAATAGCATTATCATTTATCATCATCATTTCTTTTTTGTATGCAAGAAAATTGAGGACCAAGAACATTGAGAGATTTGTCAAGGACAGTTAACAGAAGTGGGCTACAACCCTGAACTTCTGGCTCTATAGCCCAAGTATTATTGGGAAGTAATACAGGACAATACTTCAAAGCAGAATTTAGTCAGAAATACGTGGAGGGTTTGAATCTTAAGACCATCATTCACTATCTACATGATCTTTTTCTCAAATTGCTTATACTTTTTTAATTACCATAAAATACTTAAAAGAGAACTGCTTATGATTTCACTATCAACCACAATGGCTCTCAACACTGAATATCAAAATCACCCATGAAGCCTTACAAAATAAAATACACCAGAAGTAAGGTATGCAAGCAGAGTTAAGAAGCACTAACCTTCTAAGAGATAATATATGTTTCAGGGAATAGAAAACAATACAAGAAACTTACACACTATGTTGGACATAAAATTAAAATTAATTATTTTAATTAATTTAGATTAACAGAAACAGACTAGTAATAGAGCACGTAGATGTAACTGTTAGCATTCTCTTCTCCAATTTAGTATGCATTCTGCCATATTACTTTATATTTCTATGGAGCAATTCTGTGTGTCTCTGGCATATTAATAGAGACATATAACTTACTATACAAACCAGGACGTTCTCAAAGTAAAAGTAGGCACCTTTAATAACTGAACTGACGACCCCACACAAACCTGATAAATGGTCATCCTACCTATGATAGTAAATCCCCAATACTTCATATATTCTAGTTTAAGGGGCATAATATTAAGCTAGAAATCAAGTGACCTGATTCAATTTCTAAGTATTTTACTGAAGAATCATAGAAAACTTACTCTCCATCACTTCATTTCTCCAATTCTAGATTTGCCATTTCTTAGGATATCCTAACTACAAAGAGAGCACTGAGAACACTCTAGAGGGTGTTATGTGAAGTCTTATTTCTGAAGCTTATATGTTTGGTATATTAAACAGTTCTAACAAGGGATGACAGTCCTTAGCCTATGCTGCCACTTAACACCTGCACAGCCATGACAGATAGCACTAATCTATAATGATATTCTTTTCTGCTAATCATGAAAACTAACACATCTCATATAAAACTCAACTTAAGAAGAGAGGAACATGCAACAACAAAAAAATTAAACCAACAAATACAACAAAAGTGAGTTTGTAGAAAAAAATCAAGGAAAAAATAGTGAAGTCCATCTAATTTTTCTAGAAACACACACACACACAATGACAAGGGAAACTTTGGTTCTTTATTTTATAAAAGTTTAGAACTTAAGGAAACTGAAAAGCCCAAAAGGACAATACCAAAATTGAAAAGAATCATACTACTCACTTGCTTTCTTCATCCAAAAGATGGAGCAGTCCTGTTGGTTTTTTGCTAATAAGATTTATGCAACAGGTATTATCAATATAATCTATAGTATGCCAGCTGATACCTTCAGTTCTGTATTCCTCCTAGGAAATAACAAATTAGTAATTTATTCATCTTGCAGAAAATGATAGGCATATGATAATGACTGAAAAGCTTTTACCAGGCTTAGAAGAATAGTCTAAACTTTTCTTTTAAATCACAAATTGACACAATGAAATAATACATAATTTTAGTTGTATAAAATCTTGACACAATGTACATATGTTTTCCTCAAATAGTACATGCAGCCAAATTTTTTGGTTAGAATCCTGTATGTGATACCACTCAGACCAAAATTAAGGGCTGGATTTCTTTTAGCCACACTATCTAATGACTGCACTAAGGAAAAATATAAAATGAAGCCTGATTTCCTTCACGACTCTAAGCCATCAGGACTAAGCATGGGGGTTTTGTGAAATATTGATTTTGTAATTTTGTAATTTTTTCTGTATTACTGTTATCCCATAAAGAAAAGTGGATCTAGCATGGTTCATTAACAATAACTACTCTAACTGGGACAGCTAAATGCTTAACTCTTTCCTTTTAATAATTTCACAGGGAAGTAATGGCTATATAAGGGTAACCCCCAAGTGGTGACAAGAAAGGTTTTCCAATTTTTTCTTTTTTGTAGCATTACTAACAAGCATAGTAAGACAGCACAAGCAAATTTTTAGAGAGATCACCAGTAGTCCAAAATCCCTCCCCCCCCTCTTCACAATGAGGATTCTGATCCTCTTGCCTTAAGTTAGCTATTATCTTGCTTCTAATACCACTGATAAAGATTCATGTACTTAAAAATATTACACAAATGGAACCATACAATACATATTCTTTTCATCTGATTTTTTTCCTCACTCAACATTATGTTTCAGAGACATACCCACGTTGTAAGATGCATCTAAAATTCATTCAGGCATGGGTTGTGAAACACTATATTTACTCATTTATGCATTCATTATCTATGGCTGCTTTCTCAGTATAACAGCAGAGTTGAGACCATATGGCCCCCAAACCCTAAAAGACGTATTAATCTGGTCTTTTACAGAAAAAGTATACCAATCCACTACAGAGCATTAGTTCTCCAACTTTCATGTACAATAGAATCACATGAAGGGCTTGTTAAAACAGCCTGCTACACCCCATGCCAGAATTCCTGAATAAGTAGATGGAGGGTGGGGTCCAACATCTGCATTTCTAACAAGTTCCTAGGTGATGCTGAGGCTACCAATAGGGGTAGGGGAAGAACACTTAAAGAATCAATGCTGTTAAGTATTTATATAGAATTTATTCACTGACCATCCTATTGATAGACATTACAATTTCCAATTTTTGGCCATAAAAAATAATGCCTTTATCAACATTTCTGCACAAAAATTTTGGTGTACATTTATATACATTTTGTTTGTGGAAACACAGGCTTCTAAGGCTGTCTAAAGTGGTTGTGCCAATATATGCACCCAGCACCAGAGTATGGGACCTTCCTGTGCACAGTATCTCTCTAATACTTGTATTATTAGTCTTTCTCATTTCGTCATTCTGGTAAATACCAAGAGGTGTCTTGTTCGTTTTAATTTTAATTCCCTGATGACTAACAAGTGAGAAGCCCTTACCTATGTTTACTACCCACTTGGATGTCTTCATGTGCCTATGTTCATGATAAAAACTCTAAAACTTAATCTTTGTCTTGTTCTCAATCTTAGGGGGAAAGCATTCAATCCATTTCCATTAAGTATGATATTATCTGTAGGTTTTCTGTAAATACACTTTTTATTAGGAAGTTCCCTTCTATACTTGGTATGCTAAGGTGTTTTTTTAACATAGATATGTAATTTTATCAAGTGCTTTTTATACTTCTATTGAGATCCGATGCGTTTTCTTGTTTTGTTAATAGATTAATTCAATTGGTTAATGGTTATAGTTAACACACACAAGGAAAAAAATCTACTTGGTTCTGATGTATCATCCTTTTATACATCGTGCTGGATTTAGTTTGCTAACATGTGTTTAGAATTTTTGAGTCTATGTTTATGAGTGATACTGACCTTAATTTCCACTTCAAAGAATATTCTTGACAGATTTTGGTATCAATGTTATCCTGGACCCTAAAATGAATTGAGATCTGTCCCTTTTTCTATTCCACATAAGAATTCATGTCAAATTTATGTCTTTTTTCAGTTGGTAGAATTCACCAATGGGCTTAACAATATTCTTTATGGAAAGGTTTTTAAACTATATATTCAATTTCTTTAATAGTTATAGAATCAGATTTGTATATCTTTGTGTTAGTTTTGCAAAGTTTTTGTTGGTTATCATTTGGTCAGTCTACTTTGAACATAATGTTGTTTAATGCATCCTATTATCCTTTTAACATGTGTAGGATTCACAATCATGTCCTCTTTATCACTGGAGTTCTGGAGTTCTATCACTGGAGTTCTATGTCCCTCTCTTTGTCCTTGTCTGTTAGTCTGTCTCTCCCGGATGAATTTCTTCAAGGGTTTATCAATGTTATTAAGTCATTTCAAATTATTACTTTTGACTTCGCTCATCTTTTCCTATGGCATATTTGTTTTCACTTTTATATAATATTCTCCTTTATCTTTATTATTTCCTTCTTTCTACTTTGCTTTGGTTTCATTTGCTGATCTCTTTGCATTTTATTGGTAGGAATACTTACTTAGATCATTGCTTGGCAATCTTAGTATCACCTAACACCTATAACACTTTCCTCTAAGTAACATCCCACAAGTTTTAGTCACATCCACAAGTTTTAATATGTAACATGTTCATTAAATTCAATTATATTTTATAATTTTTTCAACTTCTAGGCTATTTAGAAATACACTTAATTTTTAGCTACACAGGTATTTTGCAGTTACCTTTTTGTTGTTTCCTGGCGTAACAGTATGGCAGATTGTTGTGATTTCAATCCTTTGAAATTTGGCCTTTGTTTTATTAGTCCAGTATATTAACAAATTTTGTAAATTTTGTAAATCTGAAGTTATCTATATATGCCAATAAGTATTTGCTTTAAAAATCTTCTACATTCTTATTTGATATAGGCCTAGGGAAACTGGCATTAAAGGGCACACAGGACTGGATGCCCACAAAAGCATCCACTTCATTCTCTGGGTGCTGTAATCTTCATTATCCTTATTGATTTTTTTGTCTGCTTATTCTATTAGCTATTCAGCAAGGTAAGTTAAAATATACCACTACAATTACAAATATGTTCCTTTTTTAGTTTTACTAAATTTTGTTTTATATACTTTGAGGCTATGTTATGATACCTATAAATTTGGGATTGTATACTTCCTGATGAATTGATCCTTTTAACATTGTCAAATATACCTTTTTATCTCTAGCAATGCTTAAAGTGTAATATTAATTCAGCTATACCAGCTTTTTTTTGGTTAAGGTTTACTACATCTTTTTCTATCCTTTTACTTTTGATCTTTATGTATGTTTATAGTTTAAGTGCCTCTCTTGTAAGCAGCAATTTAGTTCTATTTTATATCCAATCTGACAATCTCTGGCCTCTAGTTGGAATAATTAATCCATTTATATTTAATGCAATCACTGATGTCTGTGGGATCAAATTAACCATCTTACCATCTGCTTTTTGACTTTCTTGCTTTTTTTGGAGTACTAGAGCTCTTTCTACTTTACTTACTTATGTTAACTTGACAGTTTCATATTGTTTTATTGTTTGGTGGTTATCTTAAAATCATGACACACATCTTCACTTATCAGTATTGAACAAAGAAAAAAAACCTCTCACTTGGCCTTTAACACAAAGATCTTTGAATACCTTAAATTCCATGTACTATCTTCCCCACTTAAGTACTATTACACTCATGCATTTTAGCTCTACGTAAACATTACACCTCAAAAGATATTATCTTAAGTACTATTACACTCTTGCTTTTTAGCTCTACATAACATTAAACCTCAAAAGATAATACACACTCATGCATTTTAGCTCTACATAAACATTAAATCTCAAAAGATACTATCTATAGTTAATATTCATTTAGAGTCACCACTTTTTTACAATTTTCACTGCTCTTCAGTCCTTCCTGCATCTCTGCACCACAATAGGGATAATTTACCTACTTCTCAAATAATACACTTCAATTTTAAGGAAAATACCCCACTGACAGGCATCTACTGTTTCCCCCTGAAAGACTGATTTTCAGTGTTATTGGTGCTTCTTTAAGAGTACTGTCCCACCCTCCATCTCACCCCACAGGCTGCTTCTCACATTTTTTTTCATTATCTTTGGTTTACTATATGGCTGTCTTCAGAGTATTTATCATGATTTGGATAGTTAGAGCTTCTTAAATGTGTGCTTGTTGGATTTTTCTGTTTTGTATTTTAAGGTTTGGGAAATTTGCAACCTTATTCTCGAAAATTCATATCTTTTCAAATACGGCTTCTATCCTACTTTCTCACATACATCTTTCCAGATTATCTATCACACTACACTACATCAGACCTTTTCACTATGCCCCATATGCCCCAAATAGTATAATATTTTTATTTCTTTTTTAACCTTTATTTATCAAACTGAATACTTTCTCCTGCCCTTCCTCCAAATCACTATTTTTCTCTTAAGCTGTATCTAACTGTTAAAAACTATTATTTGTCTTCTTAATTTAACTCTATGTTTTAGTTCTAGATTTTCCTAAGTTTGAGATCTTTTTCAAGCTATGTGAGGTTCTTTAATAAAGATACCACTTTTTTAAAAAACTTCATGAAATCATTCTTACTTTAAAGTGCATGTCTGACAACATCATTATCTAGATCCCCTGTGGCACTATTGTCTCATTTCTCTTGGTTTTTATTCATGTTCATTTCCCAATTAGTATGTCTTTAAAAAAAGTTCTCAGTTAAAAAACTGAATGCTGGATACTGTCTATGAAAAATTACGAGATAATTTTTCATAATTTACGAAAGATGATCCCTTCTTCCTCCACCAGAGACTAAATTTACTCTTTGTAGGTGGCTAAGAACATTAGGAATGCTTCACCTATTTTAACCCAATCAAGAACTGAGATGATTTGAAACTGGGCTTCATTCAGCCCTTGTGATGCCTGATCTATCTCTGGTTTATCTTCACTCCTAAGATGTACCCCTTTGTGGTCTCAACCATAAGGCTGTAGGGGTTGCCTGGGGCTCCTTCTTGTTCTTGAATCTGGAGAAAATCCTGTTCAGCTTTTCAGATTCTCAAGTTTGGCTCTTTCAGAATCAGCAGCCCTCTACCAGAATAGAAAAATGTCTCTAGGAATAAAGCAGTCCCCAAATGCTGGGTTCATCTCCCTAGATTTCTGTCTTACATATCTAAGCCCTGTAAAACTTCACGATATGAAGGTACTATAATGTCTTGAAATATATTTTGTTCATTTTTTTACATGCTCTGCAAGGCAAGTTTGGTAAAGAGTTTGGTAAAAATTTCCTAGTCTGACATCCCCAGCAGTGGGACAAACAAAAGAAAACCTCACTAGATGATCAATATGTCAATAAAGATCCCTGCACTCTAAATTTTCTATCTTTGGTGCCCAGCCTAATGCCAGATATACAACTATTTTTCAGTTTACTAAACAACCAATGACCTGAAGGATAATTCTAAGCAAGTAAAGAAAGTAAGAAGAGAACAGTACTATAAATGACAATAAGAAGTACATTTTCAAATCACAGAACCCCTTTCAGTCTCTTATTCCACATTGTCTCTACTAATCCCTTGATTCAGGACTCATTCATTAGTGAGTCTATTAATGCCTTGATTCAGAATCACTCACTCACACTACCTCCAACTTGCTTATAGATCATGTCCTTCCTTCCAGTTCACCTTTCTTCAGTCTATCTTTCACAGCTCAAAATAAGTCCTCGGTTAACTGTATTTCAAATAGCTCCTATTCTCTGAAAGAAAACTTCTAATCTTCTTTGCATGACATGTAAGGCCCACAACGATATGACCCTAGTCTGCTTCCTCACTTATCTTCCTTCCTGTCTCCATCCTTATAGCCTGTATTTTAGTCATACTGAACTATTTTCCATTCATCAAGAGTGCTATGCTGCTTTATGCCTCAGTTTTTAAGGATAGTTTTACCTTTGTTTAACATAGCTTTTCCCCATTGACAATCTGGTGAGCTCAGCCTTTATTCAGAAGTATATTCCAGAATCACTCCTGGGAAATCATTGCATACCTTCAGAAAGTTCTAATTAAGTTCATCCTATATATCCCTAATATTTAACATCACAACCATATCCATTACAGCATAAATTACAGAAGAGAATACTGAGACTTGAATGAAAAAATAATACGTATTTAAGATCTGAGTCTTCTGATCCGTAATTCCACTACACCGCCTAAAAATATGATATCCAGAGTAGCAAATAAATAAAAATCACCCACCCCTAAGCAGTTCTGAACACATTTTTCATAAACTTTAAGTATGTTTTAAGGCAAGGCATTTCTTATGGCTCTTCAATGTCTAATTTACACATCTAGAAAGGGTAAGAGTAATTTCAGTTCACAGTAACACCCTTCTTCAAAAGCAACTTAATCAGTCTTCTGTTTAATGATCCACAAAGCAATTGTTTTGCTTTGTAAAATACAGACCACAATCAACACATATACCCATTTGCAAGAGATTAAAAAAAAATACTAATTTAGTATGATCTAGATAAAAGAAAACTGGACTGAATCAAGAGACAAATCCCAGAGGAGCTTTTGGTTAAAGCCAAGAATTATGGAGCCAGAGTGTTAAATCTGAATACTGGCTTAAGGCATTATCTGTAAAGTGAGAATAAAAATAATAACTGCCTTATAAATAGTTAAGTACTACATAAATATTAGCTAATATTATAACAAATAATACTATCTCTTAACAGCTTTATTGGAGACTCTAGCTAAAAGTTTATGTGTTAAACATGTAATAAACTTTAAGTATCCATCAAGATGGCCAGGATTAATGATGCTTTTGCTACTGTTAATCAGCCCTTATAATCCTTTCAGCAAAAACAGAGGTACCTAAAGCTAGAACAGAAGGCAACAAACCCCAGCATAGGAAAGATATTCTTATTTCTGTTTTATATTCCTCTTATGTTCACTTCATTTCTTCACCACTTCCCCTGAGTTTAATGTGAACCCTGCTTCTGCTTATATCTTGATATAAAAACTGACACTCTAGGCTACAATTTCAACTTGTCACTGACTTCAAACTTGGCTTGGAGAAAGCCCACATTTTCTTTGACCCTGAATTTACCCTAAGATTTCCCATGGGAACTGATAACTCACTCCTTCTACATTAACTCAACAATTTGAGCTTCTCACAAGAAATATCTAGATACTATTTTCATCTCTCTACACTTCCCTATTTTCTTATATCCATAATCTGAGTTGATCTGAGATTCCACTAGTAAACTCTCTTTCTCCCACAGATAAAGAACTAAGAGACCAAAACAATCAACTAGATTGGAATTAAAGACCAAAGGAAATCAAACAAGCATACTTAGCTTTGTAAACCATACAGCAAGCAAAGAACAGCAATTAAATATCAACCCCATGGATAGAAACCCAAAAGAAGTTCATAAATCTCTTCATTCTAAGGTGCACTCAAACAAGCACATATTATTGAATCTATTTGAGGCCTATTTTTTAAAAAAAAGAAAACCCTGTATGATAAGGCTCAGAAACTATGCTCTGATTTTTTATTTACTTAAACTGATATGAAGGCTATAGTGTCTCTAACAAAATATAAGATTTAAAATGCTTACCATGACTATGACTCAAAAAATTTATGCATGCATGTGTGTATGAAAAGTAGGGGTGCAGGAATGGGAGGGGACAAGCACACATGCACTTAGATACTCACCTGCTCCAATTTAAAGATATGCTGATTAAAGTAGTGTTGTAAACGTTCATTAGCAAAATTAATACAGAACTGTTCAAAGCTATTATTTTCATAATCTTCAAACCCAAATATATCAAGAACACCAATGGACAAAGTCTATAAAACAGGGGAAAAAACTATGGTTTAAAAATGATCTCAAATTTACTTCATGAGTAAAATATCTACAACATAAGTAACAAAATGCTCAAAGTCTACAGTGGTGGAGACGAAATTTTGGGGGGCCAGTGTTCAAACAAAATATGCCACAAATAAAAAGCATTTTAGTTCTCTTTGTCTTCATCTTTTTTCTTTTTATCCTTATTATAAAAACACACCCAATATTTTAACACGTGTAATCCACTGATTACTTTACAGAAAAATACAAAGCAGAGTTATCTCAATCTCAGAAATCCCTAAATGTCAAGAGATAAGAGAATGGAAAGAAAGAACATGTTATGGGGAAGTAAAGGGGTTACTTAAGTAAAGCTAAGTTACTTCTGGCTCTGCCTGGTTATAACAAGAAGACCATGCAAGTTTTTTTTCCTATTTTGACTTTCATAACCTAGTAGAATTCTGCTTTAAGAACCAAGGTAACAATTTAATCAGCCTTGTACAAACTAGGAATGATATCAGAATATGTATGTGGCTTCTTGGAACTTAAAATTTTTTTGATTTACAGAAAAGAATTATACAAGTTTTACAATATTAAATAGTTCTAATAGGATTATAACAAAAAAAAGAACAATGCCTTCTTCAGTCTCAATTTCTGCTCCCTCAAGTCAACAATACTCAAATCTTTCAGCTGTTTGGTATGGCATGACGTATTAGAGTAGAATATAGAATAGTGTATAAATGCTTATTATTCTATTTCTTGATATTTTACTTCTAGAAATCATCTTCTAACTTCTTATTATGGATGATACAAGGATTCAGCTCTAATACCCCCACACCAAAATTCTCCTCACTGCCTTATTCTTGAAATACAGTTGTATGACAATTTGGTTAAATGAAAACAATTTTTCTCTACTGATGCTAAGAGAGCTACTGGGCAAAACGATGTAATAGTTGATAAATAGTAATCGATTTTTTAAAAGTCTCCATTAAGAGCATTTTGTTTCCTTAATTCTGCTCACTAATTCAAAGCCCTTATGAAAAAGTGAAGATAATGACCTTCAAAAGTAAGTCAATTTGGTAAATTAGATTACAATTACAATTAATTTTCTAGCTGAAGGCTTACTCAAAGCATGTAAAGTTCACATTAAGAGCAATTTTACACTTAAGACAGTAAAATCTGTGATATTAAAAAATAAATTCTAATTATAAAAAAAGGCCTGAACATAAAAAGTTAAATTCTAAAAGTATGAGAATATCTTATAATTTGGGGCTGGAAGAGACCTTCCTATGTAAGAAAAATAAATCAATAAAACCCAGGCCAATGAAGGAAAAATGACAGAATTAACTGCACAAAAGTTTAAATCATACAGGTTCAAGAATAAAATATAAACAAATATTAAAAGTCAAGAGAAAATACTGTAATATATACCAAACTATGAGTCTCTGCAATATCCAGAATGCCTTCTAACAAGGAATAATAAAAAACAAAATAAACATAAAAACAGTGAAAGTATATAAAGAAATAATAAAAAGAAATAAAATAGAGAAAACATGAGAAGATGCTCAACTTTCATATATCACTGAAAAGATTGGCAATAAAATGGCTTAGTCCTTCTTAGCCTATTAGCAGAAGAACATACTGATAATATCCAGTATAAGTAAAAAAACAGGGAAATAGGCACTTATATATACTACTATTGGAAGCATAGTCTTTTTTGAAAAGCGATTTAGCAGTAGCTATCAAAAATTTAAAACACATACAGTTGACTCTTAAACAACATGGGTTTGAAATGTGCAGGTACACTTATACACAGGTATTTTTCAATAAATACATTAGAAACATTTTTAGAGATTTGCAGCTACTTGAAAAAACACTTTCTTTTCTCTGCTTACTTTATTGCAAGAATACAGTATACAGTACATATAACATACAAAATACGTATTAACTGACTGTTCATGTTATCAGTAAGCCCTCTGGTTAAAAATAGGCTATTAGTAAAATTTCTGGGGAGTCAAAAGTTAAACACCAATTTTCAACTGCACCAGGGTTGGTGCCCCTAACCCCCATGCTGTTCAAGGGTCTACTATATATCCTTTAATCCGGCAACTTGTTTTGAGGATCTTATCCTACAGAAAGGTGCACAAAGAATATTTGTTACATCATCATTGATAACAATAAAACAAATGTAATATATTTTTAACAGGGAAATTTATGGTATGCATATATACTATATAATACTATAAAATTATTAAAAATAATGAGATCTAGATCTATTTCAAGGCGTACTAGGTAAAAAAATTCAAGTTAGAAAAAATACAGATAGCATGATTCTATTTTTATGTCTAAAAGCAACATCTACAGGAATGTTAAGTACTTGAGAAAAAGGTCTGGAAAGACACACAGAACAACAGTTTCTCTGAACAGGGCAATAAAAACAGAAGTAAGTAGGGAAACAACAGAAATAGAAGGTGATTCTTACTTATTACTCTACATAACTCTGTTTTTAAATTTTATGTGTTAACCTTTGTTTTGAAGAAGTTTTCCAGGAAAAAAATATAATAATCCAATGTATGTCTACCTTGGTATTTTGTTTCAAATCTTTAGTATTCAGAAGTGCGTGATTAATTCGAAAAACTATCCAGTCAAAGAGGGCGCTATATAAAGACTTAGCCATGGAGTTCCTCACTGTCACAGCCTGGAAAAAAAGAAAAGAGAAGGGTTAGTTGTACAGTTGAAACTGACAAAAATCTAAGATATTATAACAAAGTGTGTTTTGCTCTCATTCAGGAAAGAAAGCTTACTCTCCTGAATTAGAAAATAATTTTTCTCTTAATATAAGTAGCTATAATTGAAGTTTTCCATATATATCATTAATATAGTCCAACTCAGGAAATCTAGGGTAAAACTGTCATGAAAGAGAAGGGAACAAAATGTGGATCACTCAGCACAAAATAGTTCTACTGAAAATTGGGGTATATATATATATCACCTAGTAAAGAAGGCATAATAGGGAGTTTACAAACAAATGAACCTTGCCAGGTAAAGTGAGAAAGAATTTTCCAGGCAGAGGAATGGAAAAAAGTGTTTTCCAGGCAGAGCAAAAGGCATCAGTTATCTGTGAATCTTAGTCCAACTCTTAAAACATAATCATTGTACAACAACAGTTACATTCCTGGTTGTCTTCAACTTGTCATCCACAGTAACCTCTAGAATTTCTCCACCCTCAGACAAAGTTACAATTCTTTCACTATAGAGTTTTGCAAACTATTTCTTCCCTCACTTTAACCTTTCTCCAGCTCATGGAAATTGTACTATCTGCTCAATTTTTCTGTAAATCTGAAATTGTTCTAAAAAATAAAGCTTGTTCAAGAAAATTGAACAGTTAGAAAGCACTAAAACCTAAAAAATAAAGAGAAGGACACATATCTTAGCGAATTGAGTCCTGGAGCTTAGAAGACTACAACTTCTAATAATTTATATGTTTACTATCTAGGGACTTATTTTGAAGCTTGTATATTTAAGCATATATTTATATCTCTGTTCTGAAGTTTAGAGGAAGTACAGAGTAATGATTAAGACCTAGACTATCTTCCAAACCCATTTCTCTATTTATTCTAGCTGTATGACCTTGGTCAAGTTATTTAAAGCTACAGCTTAAGTTTTTGCAAAATGGAGATAATACCAAAACCAACCACATAGATAATGAATGAATTTCTGAATTTTAGTGGGAAAAAAATTAAAGTTTCAAGTTCCTAGACCAAAAAAATAACTACCTAAGTCATTACCTACATAGGAAAGAGAGGAAAAGTACAACTGTAACTTCAACATTAGAAACTCTAAAGTAATTGGAAAATGTTTACAAGTTCTGAGAGAAAGAGGAATGTGGCTCTGGAATTCTATACTTAGGCAAGTTATCAATGAAATATATTTAAAATATCAAGAAAACCAATGGTAGAAAATACAGAAAGAATAACTGTTTTATTTATTATATATAACAAATATATAAAATGTATATAATATGTATTATATATACTACACAAATATAATATATATTATATTCTCAAGGGGGAAAAGGAATGAAGACAATCTGATCAAATTCAGCAAAAGTAAAATATTTTTAAAATAAACAAGTATATGACACAAAAACAATAAAAAAACATATTAGTTATCACAATAAATATAAATGGTATAATTTTTTAGTTAAAAGACAGATCTTTAAATTCAACTGGAAACTAAAACCCATCTATTTATGGTTTATATTAACTACTATTTTCATAAAATATCATAGTCTGATAGAATCCAGAAATACCAAAATACACTAATATAATACCTATTCACCATATAACTCCATTATACTTTCAGTCTCTTTTTCCTGAAATTCAGTCACAGCTTAATCTCAATTAGCCCAAATACCAATTAATATTTTCCCACACAATCAAGATTTCACTTAGTATTTCATATCTCACTAAATGGTACTGATTCTTATAGTTGTATGAACTACAAAATTAGGATTCATCCAATATCTCCTCCTTTCTCCTTGCTTCCCATTAAGAAAACATTTGCCAGATCCTGTTATTTTACCATCTAAATTTCTTTCTTTTTAAAAATATCCATTTCTCCCTATCAGTATGTCACCATTCTAAAGAAAGCAGTGAACATCTTTCTTTCAGTGTCCAAACTCATCTTTCCACATTCACTCACCCTGTGTGTTAGAATCCTAAAATGGTCCCCAAGATTCCCATCTACTGGTATACATGGTTCTGTATAACCACCTACCCTTAAGGGTGGGCATGACTGTAAAATGATGGATTTCACTCCCATAACTATGTTATATGACAAAGATGAAGGGATCTTACTGATATAATTATGGCCCAAGAATCAATTGATTTTTTTTGGTTAATCAAAGAGAAATTATACTGGGAAGAGCTAATCTAATCAGAGAAAGCTCTTAAAAGGGACTGAGTCCTTCTATCAGAGATTCTCTTGCTCATCTTGAAGGAGCAAAATGCCATGCTGTGAATAAGATCACAAGGCAGGAAACGGCAAGTAAATTCTAGCTGTTGAGAATGGCCCCTGAGAGCCAAAAAGAAATTAAAGATTGCAGTCCTACAACTGCAAGAAACTGAAATCACTGACAACCTGTGAACTTGGAAGAGGACGTTGAGTATCAGATAAGACCACAGCCTTGATAGACATCTTGACTTCAGCCTCTTGGAAACCCTGGGCATAGGACCAAACTAACCTGTGCCCAGACTGAGTGACAATGAATGGAAACTATCAGATAAAAACTGGTGTTGTATTAAGTGACTAAGTTTATTACACAGCTACAAAAAACTAATATACTCTCCTTCAACTGATTCTTCACAAGGCTGCCAGAGTGATCCTTTAAAAAAAATATCTAAGATATCTTTTCTGCTTAAAACACTTTAAGAGCTTTCCATTGCTCTCCAAGTAAGATATTTAAATTCCTAACACCTGCTAATATTTTATCTTCAATACCTAAAATACTTCTGGGCACATAAAAGGTTTTCAAATATTTCCTAAACAAACAAATTCACCAAACAAATGTAAACAAAAATAAAGCAGGGGCAACCAAAAAAAATCTCAGAAAGTTGAATTTAAAGTTAAAAATATAAATAAGATATAAAGAATATTTTTTAATGAAGAACATGAAAGAAAGCCTAAAAAAATGGGACCTTTATATAAAAGAAGGGCAACACTCTTAAAAAGGTTTGGCCTTTTTTGTTTAGAAAGAAACTCTCAAAGATGGAGACTATAAAATATGACATAATGAAGAAATATAGATTCATAGGTATAGTTAGGGAAGACCCAAAAATAGGAAAAATGGATCAATATCAGTCTGGAAATTCACAGTCTCCACTTTTCAATCATTTCCACAACTTTGTGTCTTCTAATCTCACATTCCTGTCTTATTTTCACAATAATTGTCATAGTTTGATTTCTCCTTATTTTTATAAGATTACACTACAAAATAGAAAGCTTTTCAATAATTTTCCTATTACTGTACACTTAAGTAGTATATAATAATAGGAATGGCTCACGACCAATAAAGTTCACCTAGAAGCCTGATATACAGCCATGGAACTAGGTGAGATAATCTAGAAGAAAAGACAAGCACTATGTCCTAGGGCACCTCATCTTTTAGAGGTCATAAAGAAATGAAAAAAGCAAACAAACAAAACTATAAAAAGGAATGGTCAACAGTGAAAAAGTAAAACAGAATAGAATGATGTGCTATAAAATAAGAAACTGCCTCAAAGAGTAATCAACTGGGTCAAATACTAATTGTTTATAATTCAACCTACCATGTCATTCATGCCATATTAATAATATGAAATTTAAGAATGGTGAATAAAGGAGAGGATTAAAGATGGCAGCATGAGAGGGGAGACAGAGGCTTCCTCCTAAAACTGCATGTAATACGAAAATATAATTAATACAACTAATCCTGAAAGAGCAACAGTAAAGAGGATGGCACCAAACTGCATACATCTGGAGAAAAGAGCAGACGTCACAGAACAGGGTAATGTATGAAAGCTGTGGCCCGGTGAGACCCCAAGCCCTTCCCCAACCCCAGCTCACCGGTGGGAGGAAGAGAAACGGAGCAGGGAGGGAGTGGAAGGCCTGGGACTGCTGAATACTGAGCTCTGGAGATCTGCTCTGGGAGCACAAACCTACATTTCATGGTGCTTTCATGATACGCTCGTGATTAGGGCATTGGAAAGGTAAGACAGGCAGAATTCCTGGAGAGACTGAGATTCCAGCTGCTTGAGGAAAGCAGGGATCCATATCCGGCTGCTCTGGGACAAAAGAAAGGCAGGCAGTCTGAGAGACTTCCTAACAAGGAGGCCCTTAGCAAGAGGGCTGCTAAAGGGGCAGGGATCACACAGAGCTTAACGCTCAGGAGAAAGGACAGGTAGACAAAATTGTCTGGGTGGACTCTGCCCAGCAGGCTGGGAGCTTTCACGATTTTCAGGTGCTCCAGCTACCTGGCTGGCTACACAGCTCCAAGGACCCCCTTGGTGATATGCAGCCTACTGCGCCTTTCTCCAGGCCAGACCCACCTGACTCACAAACTGGCAAATCCTACCCTGGTGTTAGGCCAGCCAGAGGGAAGACCGGCCTACAGCAACTACAAACACAAAGCACAGAGGCTTATACCTCTGTACTCGGCCCACTGGTTCAGGCAGTGGAGACAGGCATACCAGCCGGGAAGCAGGCCAGCTCTTTCCAACCCCAAGACAACACTACCACTCCCCTGCGACCCCCAACATTACTTCAGGGGCGGAGCAGCTCCAAAGAGAAGAGCTTCTGGACACTAGACAAGTGTGATATACAAATATGAAATGCCAAAGGAACCTGGTTCAATGTAAAATTAATACAACTCCTGAGAAAGACAACATCAACCTCATGAATCTTTCAGAAAGTGAGTTCAAAATAATAATCATTAACATTCTCATTGAAGTACAGAAAGATATTCAAGAACTCAGGAATGAATTCCGGTTGGACATCCAATCGTTGGAAGAGCACAATGGAGGGTATTAAAAGCAGATTAGATATGGTGGACGAGACAATAAATGAAACAGAAACTAGAAAAGAGGAATATAAAGAAGTTGAGGCACAAACAGAAAAAAGGATCTCTAAGAATGAAAGAATATTGAGAGAACTGTGTGA